CCTGGAATACTAATATCAAGAGATGGCTTGATTTATAAAATCACCTCGTATAAATTCTAACAATGTAAGCCAGTTCACTTGCTTTGGGAGCTCATTTGTGCAGGTGGGTTCTCCCTTAGTTCCAGAATAGATCGGGAACTAAGACAAAGAACTTCAAGTGTTAGCCTGACGACGTTGCTCCTAAGAATGTGAGCATTGGTCCACTGCCTGTAGAATGAAATCGGCACCGCCTTGTGCTCCCCAGAGCGTCCTTATAGACGGCTCTCAGCCTCATTTCCTAACTCTGTCACCTGTTGTCCTTGTCATCTCAAACCAGCCATAGGAACTATCTGCTCTTGTCTTTGTTGACATAAAAGATAGAATCAGGCCCTACGCGGTGGCGCAGTGGTTAAGGTCCTCACCTTGCATGCCCGGGATCCCATATGGGTGCCGGTTCTATCCCAGCAGCCCAGCTTCCCTTCCAGCTCCCTGCCTGTGGCCCAGGAAAGCAGTTGAGGACGGCCCAAAGCTTTGGGACCCTGCACCCACGTGGGAGACTTGGAAGAGGCTCTTGGCTTCGAATTGGCATAGTATCGGCCGTTGCGCTGACTTGGGGAGTGAATCATCGGACGGAAGATCTTCCTCTCTGTCTCTCCTCTCTGTATATCCGCCTTTCCAATAAAAAAAAAAAAAAAAGAAAAGAATCAAACTGCTTTTCCTACTCTCGCATTCTATACGGCATTTTACTTCTGGTCACCAGAATGTATGTGAGTTTTTGCACAGACACCATGCACACGCCAGTGGGCATAATGATGATAAACAAGCTGTCTTCTTGCTCAGCTTGATTCTGACACTACTGGAGAAGGTTCAGGCCCCCGAAAAAGTGCCCTCTCCCACTTCAAGTGCCAATAGAAGGCAATAGGTTATCACCATACTTCTGACTAAATGGTTGTAGATCCAGGTTCCCATGCGTGGTCCTTACCAGAAGTTCAGTTCATTTGCTAGGTTAGCTCATAGAAACTGAGGGAAACAGGAGCGAGCGTCCATTGGCTGGTTCACTCGCCAGTGTCTGTAACATCCGGGGCTGGGCCAAGACAAAGCCAGGCCAGAAGACAGGAGCCAGAAGTATTTCCTGGGTCTCCCAGGTAGGTGGGCCAGCCTCTGCTACCTTCCAGGTTCACTGGAAAGAGGATTGGAAGTGGAGCAGGTGGAACTTGGCCTAGAATCAGGAACCGGATGCTATCAGATCTTAGGAGCTCTCCATGAGGAACCAGAAAGGGAAACATTTTATATTATATCAAACCTGTCTTAGCACAGTGAGTCCTTTCACAGCCAGCCTGTGTGTGGTCTGCTCCCTGTGTGTTTAATGGACCCTTCCAGGCAGCACCAAATTGTTCCTCACGCTCCTTCCTTGACGTACAGCAAGGGTGAGGGGATCACATCTCCACCCCAGCCCCTCCTCCAGCCATGTTCCCAAGCACAACAGCGGGTCTTGTGAGTGTTCAATGAATGGGTTCTGCAGGAAGAGCGAACAACACCTCTGCACTACATTCAAGACTTTTTGACCCAGTAACTAAAATATAGTAACTAACATGAGACCTCATAATGTTCAATTGTTTGGGCCGGTAGATAAACTATATTATCTCATGTGTAATTCCTTAAGTGATACATGAGCCTGGTATCTGTTTTTCTTTGTGGTGACATTAAAGACCACAAGAAGAGTAGGAATTGACTAGCACACTGGCAGGTCCAATTTGAAAAATACTCAGTGTGTTTAGAGAAACCTAATGATGTTTGAGAAGAATGTGTTTTTTCCGTTGGGACGTTTTTGCCATATCGAATCATTAAAGTGTTGGGCTCCACATAGTTGCATTTTGTCTTTAGAATTTGGTGCATCAACTTTTTTTTTTCCAAATCAAATTTGAAGTAAATTACTTATGTTGCAAGAGAATCCTGTTTCCAAGTTATCTTTCTCTTCTAATGTAATGAAGATGTAATTTTATTTTTGAAAATTCTATTTTCACATCACCTTGGCCTTTTATTGTATAAAAAGAGTACTTTTGCGTTAATTTTCATCTTAAATTATAATAGCAGTCAGCAAAATGGTTCACCCTTCTCAGAAGAAATTCAAAAATATAGAAAAAACAGTATGTGTCGGGTGTGTGTGTGGCGGGAGGGTTTGCCCAGCTCAGTAGCCTAGTGGCTAAGGTTCTCGCCTTGCACATTCCAGGATCTTATATGGGCACTGACTCATGTCCCGGAGGCTTTGCTTCCCATCCAGCTCCCTGCTTGTGGCCTGGGAAAGTAGTCAAGGACGGCCCAGAGCTGTGGGACTGTGTGCTCATGTAGGAGACACAGAAGAAACTCCCAGCTCCTGGCTCTCTGTATATCTGCCTTTCCAATGAAACTAAATAAGGTTTTTTGAAAAAGAAATATAAGCAGGAAAAGATAAAACCTTCATCCTCCTTGTTAGTTGGCATATATTTTTGTAAACTTCCAGTCTGTACATTTATAAAGAGGTATTACATAAAATATGTAGTTATATATATGTATCTTAAAGATATGCAACATCTAGTAAATTTTGAAAAATCTGGTTATATATTATCTTACCAAGCATAATAATTTCTCATAATTTGGGAAAACTTTAGTAATAAGTAGTTCTTTTGATAATATTTACAAATATGGATTTGATACTGTGTGTTGACTGAAAAATATCGGCTGCCATACCTGCTGGCCCAGTTGGTGAATTAAATTACAGATTCTGTAATTTTCTGATGTTGAGAATATTGCAAAAGAGACCACTCAAAAGGCCCTGTGATTTTAAGAGATGAATTGAAAGGTAAAACTGAGAGATCTAACATGAATACTTTGAGTTGCATTCACAGAGGAGGATTGGGACAACTCAGATTTAAGAGAGTGTTTGTGCTCACACAGTGTGAAGGGATGGAGGGGTGATTAGTTTTGGACGTTGTCCCATGTTGGAAGTTGTCTAGAACTGACCTGAGTTGATAAGACACTTAAGAGGATGGATACTGTTATAATAATACACTTAAGAGGATGCAGAGGACAATAAACTTAAGAAAAGAGGATGTATAAAAAGAAAAATGTAGATGAGAGAAGTGCGTTTCTGTATAAGAAGCCATGATGGTTCCAATCCATCGGGAGTGTGATAAAAGTGATATTGTTTGTTAAGCTGTGAATTTGAGATGTGATTCCTGCTATGTCTTTGAAGGCCAACCTGAGAATCCTGATGTATTTACCAAGTAGGAGCTCATGATGTTGAGTAGGGTAGATGGAAACAAGATTCCTGTTTTCTGGAGTAATTGTTCTGGTAACTAAATTTAGTGCAGTTGGGAAGCCAGGAAAGGAGAGGCCTTCCAAGAGCAGCAGGTGTCAACAGTCATAACATCAAAAGAAAGGGCAAGTGCCTTCGGATGTCTAGATAGGTCTCCACACACAAACCGCACAGTCCAAAGCCAGTCCCCCGCAAGTCCACAGCACCTCAACTCTGCAGAGATGTTCGTCCGGGTGCTTGTGTTTACTCTGAGGTTTTAAAGGAAGGAGTGCATCCATAATGTAGCTCTGGCAGTCCCCACGTAGAAGGTGCTGCCTGGTTGCCTTTTGTCCCTTCCGTTGCCAGGGGTTGGTTGGATAGAGAAGGAGAGGGCAGAAGCAGAGACAGCCTCACAGTGAGTTGGGAAGAGCCATAGCTTTGTATCTGCTCTGATGTTTAGTGTACCTCTCGATGGAGACCACCTATTCCATTGCTGACTTATCTTTTACTCAAGTATTGGACCATTTCACTGTCTCACAAAGAAATGGCAGCCAGCTAATTACAGATGAGTTTGTAGCCTTATCTGGCAAGTCTGACAAACTCTCCAACTCTCCTTCTTCTAAGCTCCAAATATCTTCCTGTTCCTTTGGGGAAACTGATGCCACCCTTGTTGCCAGGGGAGTCAAAATTGGCCACTCGTTGGTGATGGAAAGATATTCTGTAATTTAAGCAGACATCTTTATCAATTCTCTTTAATTTTTCTTTCTTAAATATTACGTATCTCAACTTTAAAGCCATTTTCTTAATTTATAAGGATACTATTTCTTTTTTCTTTCCCCACAGGTCCCTTCCCTATGGTAGTTCTCCTTGTCCAGCCTTCCTCTGCCATTTGGTGGTCATCCTCTTACCACTGGCCCCAGTCCCCAGCTTGAGTGCGAGGAAGGGTCTGCCCAGACTCAAGGACTCTTGTGATTCAGGAAAGTAAATTGTGGCAATTTTAGACATCAAAACATTTCTGAATATATCTCAGCCACAAGTATAAAATTGCCTGTGATCCACTGTACATCTGAGCCAAAAATGTGGTTATCAGAGCATTGATGTAGCCTGTATATGCTTTAAAAATTCCTGATCCGTAGCCAAAAAAACAGCTTTTCCTCCCTTTGCAAGATGTTTTATTTTGGCTCCAACAACAGAGAAAATATTTTTTCCACTATTTTTTCTAAATAGGCTTTTATTTGCTTCTGCAATAGCTTCAATAATCAGGCCCTGTCCGTGGAGAACTATAATTATCATCTTCATTTAGGAAAGGGCGGGAGAGACTGTACAGAGGAGACAGATACAGCAAGGCAGCAGAATCTGATTTGTCCTGAAGGAAGAAAACAGGAGGGAGAGGTGGATTTTTGGAGGATTTGGAAATGTGATTCTTCTAAAGAGGAAGTGATCAACTCCGTGTACTCCACAATGCCTAGTACAGTGACCGTGCTTTCGGACGGTGGGAGGAAAAGGAGGCTCTGCTGGCATTTGTGGTAGTCAGCCCCAGCGTGCTGAGAAGGTAATGATACTGGTGCCACACAGTGCATTCCCCCCCCCACCCCGACAACCGTTTCCCCAAGTGTTAGACCACTGTGTAAGAGAAGCATTAGGCAAACATTGGGAGTACAGTAAGAATGCAAAACGGGCTGCCTGACACTTTATTTACAATAATCAGGAGTCAGTTAAGTCATGCGTGTGTATATTTCTCTTGTAGGTTCATTTTCCAGACACTGAAAGAGCAGAGTGGCTAAATAAGGTAAGATTAGAATATACGAAATACCAGCTAATAGTGGGAATCAGAGAGGGAGAGCCCGTGTGTCCATATTTGGGAACGTGAATGTTGGCAGCGTGTGAGCTCCGTTGGACTGCAGAAGGAGGCCGTCTCCCCAGAGAGCTGGGTTACGGCGAGCGTGTTGCACTCCTCTCCAAGGAGTGAGAACCGAGTCTTCCACCTGCAGAAAAGCATCCCGTGCTCAGAATCCTGCGTGTCTGTGGCCATGTGTCTTTTCTCCTGAATGGCCAGCACTCACCTGTGAGACTCATGAGGGAAAATTCAGAAACATTGTCAAGTGGGAAATGAAGGTTAAGAAACCTAGTGGTTGATGATAGCCATTTTTCAAGATAGGTTTTTAATATCAGTATACTTTGAACTAGATCTCTTTTATTCATGTTTTATGCAGTTTTGTAGTCAACCTGGCATAGGTAATGATTGTTGTATACCACGGGAAGTTAGTCTTTTATTGAAAATCTTCCTGGGTGCTTGTTAAGGTCTGCACAATTACAAGGTTTTCAGCAGAGAATTGGTCCTTCAGGACTTTTAAAATTACTAAAGATGTTGATGTGCTTAAGCAGAGTATTTAATGCAAGTAGCTAATCACTGTAACACACGGGTAAGGCAGTAGTTTATTATTGTAATGAGTTTAAAAAAATTTTTTGATTGTGTTGGGTTTGTACTTTACCTCCCCTCTTGTTTTTTTAAAAGATTCTAGTAAACTACAGGATTATCATTTCCTATGATTACTCAGGTATATTACGTATTCCAAGATCTTGTTTAACATGAGTCCTTTCTGCTTTCCAGACTGTGAAACACATGTGGCCTTTTATCTGCCAGTTCATAGAGAAGTTGTTTCGAGAAACGATAGAGCCAGCGGTGCGGGGAGCAAACACCCACCTGAGTACCTTCAGTTTTACGAAGGTCGATGTGGGGGAACAGGTGAGTTTCTTCTGTGGATGCCTGCTGTGCATGGCGGAGGACTGCTGTGAAAACATGACAGCATGTTCAACTTCCTCCAAGTATGTTCTGGGACAGTGTGTTTAGCTCGAGGCCTAAGAAGTGTCTGCAGCTGTGGCTCAGGGTCTTGCCCTCACTGGGCTGGCTCTGCTGTCCCTGACGGGAGGGCCGTCACATTGCCCACTGACCTATTGGCCAATGCAGTTTTCATGACAGGATTTCCAATTAGAGTTCACTTTACTGTCTTTCTGCAAGACCCATTTTCTTCTGTGAGAATTGAATTTCTCAGGAATGATCACAAACAGTCTGTCCTGTTATGAGTTCGTATAGCCAGTCATTGACAACAAACTGAATGGATTCACCCCTCTGAAGATGTTTAAAACATCCACTAAGGATTTTATGCTGGGATTACAGGCATGACGATGATTCTATAGATGAGAGAGATTTTGTTAGGACCATATAAAAAGGTAAGGCTAGTTCCCAACTGTGCTTCTAATGAAAGCCTTGAGCATTTAAATTCGTTATCATGGCAGACTTCTTTTTCTGCTTTATTTTGAAAAGTCAGTGTTCATGATTAGCAACAGGTCAAGGTTACATTTTTTATATGCCTAATCAAAACTTCAGAAATAATAATAGGTTTAAACCTATGCAGTTTATACGTAAGTTCACATAGAGCCAAGAAGCTCCACAAGTGGAGGTCACTGTTCAATGCTCTTCAGAATGTGCTAGATGCAGCTTAGGACTAGCTGACCAATTGCAGTGTGTCCATTCCACACTGGTCAGGCTGCTTTTCCCCTCAGCTGACATCCTCCATACAGTGCTGTGCTCTCTGCAGTTATTCCAGATCCAGGGGCTCGAATGCAGGCTCATGCAGGCTCATACACTTCCATGTGTGTGCTGCCTCTTTCTGCTCTTGGCTTTGAGATCTCCAAACACGTGGCATGCCTGAAGCATAGCCATCTTGTTCAGGTGGCCAAAAACCTGCACAGGACATGTGTGTGATATATATAATATGTACCTTCTGTAGCCTAAAATGATAACAGCAGGTTAGGGAGAAAAGACTGCATAATTCCCATTTAGAATACTATATAAATACAAGTTAAAATGCCCGAAGCAGGAGGCCAACATTGTGGTACAGCCAGTTAAGCTACCACTTGCAGCACTGACATCACACATGGGACTGCTGGCTCAAGTCCTGGATGCTCTGCTTCCTCTCCATCTTCCTGCTAGGCACATGGGAAAGCAGTGGACAGTGGCTCAAGGACCAGGGCCCCTGCCATCAAGCAGGAGACCCATACGAAGGTCCTGCTACTGACTTCAGTGTGACTGTTGAGGACATTTGGAGAGTGAAGCAGTGGGTGGAAAATGAGCAAATCAATCTCTATGTGTATAGCAATCTCCATCTTTCTCTGCATGCTCTTCAGTTCTATGAAAAATGCTTTGCCTGGGGCCTAGTGCGGTAGACTAGTGGCTGAAGTCCTCGCCTTACACGCACTGGGATTTCATATGGGCACTAGTGCTAATCTTGGCAGCCCTGCTTCTCATCCTGCTCCTTGCTTGTGGCCTGGGAAAGCAGTAAAGCACAGCCCAAAGCCTTGGGACCCTGCACCCACGTGGGAGACCTTGCTTCAGATCGGCTCAGTGGCCATTGTGGCCACTTGGGAGTGAATCAGTGGATGGAAGATCTTCCTCTCTGTCTCTCCTCTTCTCTGTATATCTGTCTTTCCAATAAAAATAAATAAATCTTTTTTAAAAAAATGCTTTGTCTGAACTGTGCTGGTAAGGCCCTTAGACAAATAAATTCTGTTGCCTTCACGTTCTGTTGCCTTTCCTCTGTTCGGTCATGTTCGGGCATCTGGAGTGGAATTGGTCTTGCTGTTTCTCTTTCATCTGAGATGTCGTTGAAGTGAGGAAAGAGGAAAATATTAGAGCCTGGGATAGTAGGACATGTGTGAAGACTTAGTTCCATTCTGTAGCTCATGGAGAAGTAAGATTTTCAGACTCTCATTCTTGTCAAAGTAAACAACAGTACTCTAGAAAGTAAGGTGTTTCTTAGGCCCAAATATAATGCTGAGATTTTCAAGGAGACCCAATATTGATATTCAGGGAAAGGTTTTGAAATTATGTTTGTTTGTTATTTATTCATTTGAATGACAGAGTTCACAGTGAGAGATTTTCTGCCTGTTGGATCGCTCTCCAAGCAGCCAGAGATAGACTGATCTGAAACTGAGCCAGAAACTGCTTCTGAGTCTACCACATGAATGTAGTGTTCCAAATACTTGGTCCATCTTCCACTGCTTTCCAAGGCACATAAGCAGGGAGCTGGGTCGGAAGTGGAATAGCCAGGACTCAAGCCAGTGTCCATATGGGATGCTAGCACCACAGCTGGCAGCTTTACCTGCTACAACACAGTGCCAGACACTACAATGACATTCTAGTTGGATCCTTGAAGCGTAAAAATCTATGACCTTATTCAGTTTACATGGTAATTCATCCTATCTTAGATGTTGGCATTATATCAACAGCTTATATTATTTACTTACAAGCCTCAGTTTTGTGAATGTCTTCAGAAAGGAAGAATTATAAGACAAACTTTTTTCTTCAAATAGCTTAGTAAGGATGGAGTAGAGGGAAAAGATCAGATTAAATTGGAAGGTACAAAGGGGTTTAAGAACTTAGAGAAAAGAACAGGAAAAAAAATCCCTGCACGTACTGGCAACACGCCTAGTGGTGATTGAGTACTGACCACATGTCAGGAAGAATACCAAGTTCTTTTCATTCATGGTGCCATATTCTTCTTAGCCAACTCATGAAACACATGCCATTATTATTGCCATGTTACAGGTGAGAAAATTAAGGTCAAATAAAGCACCGGAAGTCAAGCAGCCATTAAAGTAGACTTTTAAATCCCTTAGTCTGATGTCCAAGGTTACTCTCTTCACCTCTGTGTCACATTGCAAGCTTAGTTTTGTTTTTTAATATGCCGCTTCCATTTTTAGCCCCTTAGGATCAATGGTGTTAAGGTATACACTGAGAATGTGGACAAAAGGCAAATTATTCTGGACCTTCAGATTAGGTAAGTTTTGTGTTATAACTGTGCTGTGATTGATAAAGTATAATGTCCTTTACCTGTTTGCATCAAGGGGAATAGATAGGGAGCAGGTTTCTTACCTGCTGTTTTGAAAACCAGGTATTATTTTTCTTCTGGGTATTTATAGTTTTCATTAAAGAAGCATTTAAGATTAAAGAAAACTGAGGCCCCCATAAGGAAGCTGCAAATCAGTGTCCTCGTGAGTATTGACTTGGGGATCCTCAAGAAAAACTAATAAACTAAATCCAGTAGCAGTATTTAATATTAAAACTATTATGTACTATAACCAAATGGATGTGTTCCCACGATGAATGGATGGCTCAACGTATGAAAATCAGTTTGTATAACACTCCACATTAACAGAAGGCGGAAAAATAAAGCTATATGATCATCAGTTGATGCTCAAAACTCATTTAGCAAAATTCGATTCATACTAATGCTGAGTTAGCTTGTAATAGGGGAAAACGTATTCAACATAATAAAAACTGTAAGTTAAAGACCCACAGAAAGCTTCATACTCAATGGGAAAAGACTGAAAATTGTTTTCCTAGAGAAAAAGTACAAATAAGACAGATTTCCACTAGTCAGCATAATATTGGAAGTGTTAGCCAGAGTAGTTAAATAAAGGCATTCAGATTAGAAAGCAGAAGATAAAAATCGTATCTCCACAGTATTACAGGTAGCAAATCCCAAATATTCTACCAAAAGAAATGTTAGCACTAATATATTCTCTGAAGTAGCAGTAATATAGCAGCAGCTCACAAAAATCAATTGTGTTTTGATGTGCTAACAATGAACATTGCAGCAAGTAATTAAGAAAACTATTCCATTTATAATAGAGCCAAAAATTTTAAATATGTAAGAATAAATTTTATCAAGGAGGTGAAAGGTTACATATTGAAAAGTATAAAACATTAGTGAAAGAAACTAAAGAATATGAAAATAAGTGGATACTATATTCATTCATTGGAAAACTGAATATTATAAAATGCCAGTTCTACCCAAATTGTAGCAGTCCCTATAATCAGAAATGATTAATGCCCACAATACATAGAGGACTTTTGAAATTCAGCAGTGAAAGAATCAATACTGTCAAAGGAAGATACATAAATGGCTAGCACACATTTGAAAAGGTGTTTGATATTACCAGCTGCTAGGGAAAAGCGTATCAAAACTACAGTGAGAAGCCACTTCATAGTCATGGGGATAGCTACCATCAAAACAAAAGGAACAAATGTTAGTGAAGTCATGGAGAAATTGGAACAAGGTTCACTAAGTGAAGTAGTAACAGTTTCTCAACACTTAAAGTTACCATCGGACCCAGCAATTCCACAATCCTTTAGACAGGATGGTTTCTAAAGGGTGGAGGTCTGTTTGGCCCATTGTTCTGGAAGCGGCTACAGAAGGTGAGTCCTCCTTCTCCTTTGGGAGTGGAAAGGCACATGGCCGTGTATGAGATTACAGGAGATAGAATTGCTTATAATAGCCTGCTCGCACAGTGACTAAACCAGTTCCGCAAGAGTGGTGATTCATGCCAGAAAGGCACTAATCCATTTGTGAAGGCTCCAGCCCCATGACCCAAACAAGCTCCTGCTAGGCACCGTGTCTCAACACTCATGCATTGATGAGTTAAGGCTCCGGTACATGAGCGTCTGAAAGACACAGTCAAACCGTAGCACGTCTGTACCCCAGAGAATTAGAAGCAGGGAATGGAAACTGATATTTGCATATACGTATTCATAGCATCATTACCAACATGTGCCATATAACATTCTGAATAACTATAAACTACATGGTCCCATACTTAATGACATTGTAGTTGCCTTAGTTCATGTAAATACATGCTACAATGTTTGCGCAATAAAATTGCTTGAAAATGCTTTTCTCAGAAAATATCTATGCTGTTATGTGGTCATGATCTTTTCAATAATACCTGATGTGTAGAAGTAACCCACATGTCCATGAGTGTATTAATAATTAAGCAAAATGTAATAGATACATGTATCATTAAATCCTAAAAAGAAAAAATCCTGACACGTGCTACAACATGGTGTGAAGGTGAGGGCAGTTCTGAGGCCTGGGGGAAGACAGAATGAGGAGTAGGGGTGTGGCGGTGAGGGCAGTTGTGAGGCCTGGGGGAAAACAGAATGAGGAGTAGGGGTGTGGCGGTGAGGGCAGTTGTGAGGCCTGGGGGAAGACAGAATGAGGAGTAGGGGTGTGGTGGTGAGGGCAGTTGTGAGGCCTGGGGGAAGACAGAATGAGGAGTAGGGGTGTGGTGGTGAGGGCAGTTGTGAGGCCTGGGGGAGGAGAGAATGAGGAGTAAGTTCTTAATGGAGAGATGTTATCAGTGTCACCGAACTGCATATTCTGATGACAAATGATATTACATTTTAATACAGTAAGGCGATTGGAAGAGAGAAATTGAGTCTGCCAGGCGCCATGCCTGGTATAATCAGTATGTGTTGGTTGCTTGTCTGCACTCATACTTGGACTTGCCTGTGACTTCCCACGTTCTGTAGGAGGCCCAAGGATGCAGTGTGTGTGTGGTGGCTGCTGTGTGCAGAGCGCTTGTTCGTTTTTAGCAATTTACAATGGCGTTTCTTTGTTGTCGTTCCTTGACTAAGGATTATTTTTACATCTCTGTTTTCAGTCTTCAGAGTACATTGGTGTGTTAAAATATGGAGCTAGTATCAATTACTTTTATTTTAAAAAAAGTATAGGATGTTTTTTGTTTTGTTTTCTTTGCAAGGGCCAAAGTACTTGTGGATGTCATTAATATGTTAAAAAGGTGTATCTTTTAAAATATTTGCCATTAGTGCAATTCCTCTTGTCACCAGAGAAGTAGAAGTCTGCTGAAGTCTTAGGTTGGTTAGGCTTTGTCCAAGAAGAGTTCTCCACGAGGCTGGTGACAGCTACATCAAAGTAGAAACCTTGTTCTGCTATTCAGTGTCTCCCAAACTGAATATTCCATGTGTTTATTAAATACGTCTTGGAGCAGGCATTGGGCTTGCCAGTTAAAACACTGTGGGGGAGCTCCAATCCCACACTGGAATGGCCAGTTCCAGGTTCTTACTAATGTCCATGCTGGGATGCAGAAGGTGAGGGCCAGCTGGTTGGCCTTCCCATCCGTGTGAGAGACCTGGCTGGACTGCCCAGCCCAACATTGGGGGTCTTTGCAATCATAACAACACATGCAAAGTATCTTACACAAATATTTATGTCTCTAAATAATATGCATTCTGCTGTGTGTGTGTATTCCACAAAAGGACCTTAACTAAATTGGCAACAGAAATAGAAAAAGAGAAGTTGAAAAATATTCAGGAATCAAATGATCAAGTCTGGGGGTGAAGAAAAAAGTTTTATACTGGTTTTCTAATAGGGTTTCAGTGATTTTTCAGAACAGGAAACACTTCTCAAGGAGAAAAGTGTGTACCAGGATGGTAAATACTGGAAGGGCTTCATCCCAGCTGTTAGTATTTTGCTCATCTGCTTGGATACCTCCTGTCCCGTGTTTGTCACAATATTCCCAAGCAGGAGTTAATGTCCTTTTTCCAGGAGTGAAGGAAAGGGGTCGATTTATATAAAATAGTTACGCATAATTACAAATATGCAACACAAATTAATATAACTTAAGCACCAGGACCCCGACAGACCTGCTATTTCTAATCCTTCATATCAGGAACCCTGACACATCATTAGTTTTTTTATGTGTGAGTGAAGAGCCGGTGATCTGAAATTTACTTTCAGCCAAATAAAATGTACTTTTTTATGTTTTAAAGAAATAAGATTTGTTAATGCAAGTAGAAACTATGTTTCATCAAAAGACTGGTCCAGAAGTAACTCTTCAATTCCATTTTCCTTTGCAAGTAAACATTTATATTTTAATATAAATCCACTGGGATGCAGACATACACACACGCACATGATGAAGGGAGTTGAATCTAACAACATCACGTGCCTGAGACCAGGAATGGCAAGATACTGTGGTGTGAGCCACATTTACAGTTTTTACCTACAATCTGAGTTTGATTGTTTTTCTATCGCTTTATTTAAGTTATGTGCCTTTGAAGCCTGTGGCCATTAAAGGAACAATTAATTGCACTCAGCTTCTTGTAATGCAGATTTTTTTCTCTGTTAGTTTTGTAGGAAATTGTGAGATTGATCTGGAGATTAAACGGTATTTTTGTAGAGCTGGTGTGAAAAGCATACAGGTAAGTTTTAAAATTGTTTACCATCTTCTAAAGTTTTCTAAGCTATGTTCAAAAAGAAAAGTAGAGTTCTTATTGGCTCGTAAGTTTTTTGAAGTTTATGTTTGTAGATTGCAGTTGAAAAAAAAAAGTTAAATGTGTAAAAGTCGCTAAGATTCTCATGTGATCTCCCTGAACCCTGTCTGCTGTTACCTGTCTGGTTTCCTGTTGGAGTTTAGATTCATGGTACCATGCGAGTGATCTTGGAACCGTTGATTGGAGACATGCCTTTAGTCGGAGCTTTGTCCATCTTCTTCCTTAGGAAACCAGTAAGTCAACACTTATTTCAAGTTTACTGTTCCATTCACTGACAAAAGTATGTATGCATTATATATCTATATGTACAAAAAGTGTGTATTTATATATTTTTTTAACATAGCTATGTATCAGAATATGCCAAAAGAGAAAAATGTTAATCCTTCGCTCTTATCCCTTCCTGGCACATAAATCCTGTGGATTTTCCATATTTCTTTATGCCTTAACAAAGGGCTTCATCTCTTTAGAAAGGTAGTTCATTTTTTGATCGTAAAAGCCATGGGAGACAGCTTTGTAGTAAAGCGGTGACCTGTGACTTCAGCTTACGGGCATCAGCTCATGACCTAGCTTCTGCACCTTGAGTCCAGTGCTCTGCTTCTGGCCTGAGGAAGGCAGCCAAGGATGGGCCGAAGGCTTGGGCCCCTGCCACCTACATGCAGACCTGATTTCAGCCTGGCTCAGCCTGGCTGTTGGAGCCATCTGCAGACTAAGCCAGAAAATAAAAGACCTCTCTCTCTAACTCCGCCTTTCACACAAACACATCCTTTTTTTTTTTTTTTTAATTGATTACACCACACTATGTGACACAGTTTTACAGGCACTGGGATTTGCCCCTCCCCTCCCCAAAACCCACTCTCCCCCATGGTGGATTCTTCCATCTTGTTGCATTACCACAGTTCAAAAATCAGTTGAGATTCTTTCCTTGCAAGCGTCTACAAAGCATAGAGTCCAGCATCTTATTGTCCAGATAAGTTCAACAGTTCCATGGGGAGACTGTCTCTGGTCTGAAAGTAGAGCCGACAGAGTATCATCCCAATCGATTAAAAGCCCCGACATTACATCAGTAACAATTTATAACGTAATGGAATTAGTTGACATGGTATTGTGTAACCAGCAAAACACATCCTTTTAAAAGTTTGGAAAATAATTTTTTAAAGTTTATTTATTTGCATTTTATTTGAAAAACAGATCAAACCCCTTTCCATCCGTTAGTTCATTCCCTAGATGTCTGAGTAGGCAGTGTTGTACAGGCTAAAACTGGGAGCTGAGAATTCATCCTGGGTCTCTGCTGTGGGGGTCAGGAATCCAGTACTTGAGCTGCGTCCTAGATGTATTAACAGGAAGTGGGATCAGATGCAGCATTGAGGCAGGAGCCTGTCCCAGGCACTTGGTGGGGGATACGGGCCATTCCAAGCCGTGCCTTAACCACCATGCCACTTGACTGCTCCCCAGTTTTTTAAGTGTAGCTTGTCCCCTCCTCTCCCCCCCGTGGTTAACCTTCCTAGAATGTGGTCAGTGAGTATAATGTACAGAATTTGCTCACTTGACCCCCATTGCTCTAAATGCTGTTTCCTTTGACCTATCAAGAATTGAGATTTTGAAAGTCTTTTTGTCCAGATCACACAGCTAGTAAGTATCAGGCCTGCACGTAGACTCACGTTGGTCTGATCTTAGTTTGTGTTCCTGAGCTCTCTGTTGTCATGACTCATCAGTGAATCTTCCTCTGTCACCCTGCAGAGATAAGTGATACGTGATATTTTAGTGATTTAGAGGCAAATCTTGGGATAGGATTTTACCTCGTGCTGGAGACACTGAGTAAGACGTTCACGTTCTGTGTTGGAGTGACTGGGTCCAGTGCCCAGGTCTGACTCCTTGCCAGCAGTCCTGAGAAGCAGCAGCTGATACCTCAAGCGCTTGAGTCCCTGTTCCCTGTGTGGGAGACCTGGATTACATCCCCAGAGTTTAGCTATGGCCTCAACCCAGCCCCAGCCATCATGGACAACTGTGGAGTAAAACCAGCAGATGGAAGCTCTCTTGGTCTCCCTCACTGGCTGCCTCTCAAGTAAATAAATCAATGATAAAGTTCTTTCTTTTTTTTTCTCCCTCATTAAGAATGTAGCAAGCCAGATCTTTAAATATTTCTCAAACTAGCATACTGAGAAGAGCACATACGTTGCAGTATGTATCTCTATTCCCAAATGAGCTGTTAAATATAACTTGACAGTAGGATGCCAGACTATCTGCTGTCATCTCTACCTACAGTGCCATGATACGCTCAACAACAGAATGTTGGACTTGTGACTGTTGCTGAAGGACCATGCTACTGTAATAGTACGGGGGCAAACAGTGATGGGGGAAGACAGGCAGTGGAAGGGGGAATCCCTGAGCCTGTGGAACCATATCATGAAAAGTAATCATAACAAAAATGAGTAAGTAAGCAAATATTCCTCAGGACTTAGTAAGACTCTATTTTTTCATTCATTTTCTTCCTGGTACCGATGCTGCCCATCATTAATACTCTTATTTACTTTAAGCTCTTCCCAGATAAATTACCTTTGAAATAACATTATAATGTTAATGCCCATGGGAAAGTTCAGTATTCACAAAAGAATAAAGCTAAGAAATTCACAATCCCTGATTTCCTAATATGGTAAGTCAAGTCACTGAGCCATATACTTTAGAGAGAGGAAATTTTTTTTTTTTTTAGTTACTTTCAACTGGAAAATATGAGACTGTGGCTGCTAGCCGCCAAGTCATTTTTCTGGTGAAAAATAAAATGTAGAAAGATTTTGCTTTTGTGTTTGATTTTAGCAGAACTGGATGCTTATGAAACATGCTGGACACGTGTATGAAGCTCTTCCCCCATTTTTAGACCTGTTCTTTGTTTAGTTTTCATAATATACTTTTTTGGAGAAAAATACTAAAAATTCCTGCTGCGATTGTGTGTAGGAGGGACAGTATGTGGGATGGCTGAGTGGTACTTTCGGTGTATCCTGTCTTTCCACCCTTGATTTTTTTTCTCTTCTTACTGTAAGTTTTGAGTAACTTAGTTCTCAAAGCCCAGTTTTTCTTTTCTAACATGAGAATGAGTATCACTGCATAAAGTTAAATCTCAGTGAGGATAAACAATATAATACCTGGTACATCACTGTTAAATCTTGAGTTCTTTTGTTTGTTTATTTTGTTTTGTTTTAGTTATATTTACTTATATAGAAACCTGAGTTACAAAGAGGAGAGACGAAAAGACCCCCAGTCTGCTGATTCACTCCCCAAGTGGCCACAACAGTCAGAGCTGAGCTGATCCAAAACCAGAAGCCAGGAGTCTCCTCTAACTCCCCAATGCATGGGTAGGGCCCCAAAATTGAGCCATCCTACACTGCTTTCCCAGGCCTCAAGCAGGGAGCTGGATGGGAAGTAGAACAGCCAGGACACAAACCAGCACCCGTATGGGATCCTGGTGCCTGCAAGGTGAGGACTCAGCCACTGAGCCATTGTGCTGGGCCCTAAGTCCTAAGATCCTTTTTTGAGAAAATATGTTTACTTATCTCTAAGTCAGTGTTACAGAGAGACATACAGAAAGATCAGGATCTTCCATCTGCTGACTTGCTCTCCAAGTAACCACAATGCCCAGGGCTGGGCCAGGCCCGTACCAGGAGTCAGGGACCCCATCAGGTCTCCCACATAGGTGGCAAGAACATAAGCACTTCAACCATCTTCCATTGCATTTCTCAGGCCATGTGCAGGGAGGTGAATTGCAAGTGTAGCATCCAGGAGTTGAACCAACATCCGTGTAGGGTAATGGCTTCATAGATGGCAGCTTCACCCTTGATGCCAAAATGCTGACCCCCAAGTTTTCAGGTTTTTAAGAAATTAAGATTTTTTTCCGTGCAAATTAGCATTGTAGTAGGAGCCTTACACTGAAGATGAGTAAAGGACAAAAGCTGGGATAAATGGGATACGAACCAGAGTTCATTGGTATTTGCCATTGGATGTCGTCATGGTGACTGCTGCCTCTGCCTTAGCTGCCTTAGCCGTGCCACCTTAGAGGTCTGTGCCCTGGAGTCGTCTCCCAGGCCTCCGTGGGAAGCTCATCCAAGAGCTCACATGTGCCTTTCCCTCCTTCCTGCAGGCTGCCTCGTGGGAAGGAATTCAGGCTGCCCTTGGGTCTCAACTGTCCCATGTGATCTAGAGGGATGCTCTTTCCAGTTTTCCATGCCCTGGGATTTTATAACCTTGACCCTTAATAGCAACCCAAATCTAAATAAAGGGTCCCAGCGAAGAGTAGGATCCAGGGTTTGTATTTTAAGCATACTTCTGAATTGTTATCCTGAATTATAACACTTAGCACACTTGGAATGGTTGGCATATTTGAAGTACCAAATTGCTCTAGTTGAACTGTCCTGTGTTTTACTGCATCTGTCAAATGATGTGCTATGGATCTGTAGGGAGAAGGAAGATGCCTCCGTGTAGTTCACGAAATGCAATCATGGACCATGTTACACATTCTGTTTCTTATGGGAGAGTCACAGCAGCTCGGAGATGACTTCCTGTGCTTTGGAAATACGTGTTCCTCTTACTCTTCAGTTTCCTGAAATAGAGATGTTAGTCATCCAGAGACTGTGGTTCCCATTATCCTAGGGCACAAGGGAGCACACTAATTTTAGTTGCTTCTCCCGAGGGGCTTCCTCAGGCACTGCCTTTATTAGGGCCCTCCTGGTGGCTTCTCCGATGTCTGTGTGCAAACTTTGGAGATTGAGTCTTTTTGGAGGGGAGGGGGTTTGGGGGTGTATAGCTCTGCATTTCATCAAAATGGCTTGACTGTTGATTTATATTAGGCTTTTAAATTTTTTCACATTTTGGGGCTGAACTTTTAAAGCTCTCACTCTCACATATACCTGCCCTTGCTTTCTCCCACACTCACTCACATGTTGCTTTGCTCCCATTCGTTCTCTCACACAGTGGTTCTTTCTCCCTGCGTCTGTCTGCAGGTGGTCTCTTCCTGCTGCTCAGCCCTCCCCACTCTGTGCCAGGAGACTGCCCTGTGCCCCTTCAGCACCTGCAGCACGATGCCATCACTCAGGACCTTCCTCCTGATACTCAATCTCTGCTTTCCCTCTGAGCCTTGTCCTCTCACACTTCCTGCCCCTACCTCCTGGTGTTGTCTTTCAGCAGCATTTCCAGCAAGGCTTGTGTGGGTGTGCCCTCTGTCACCTGATGACTTTGTAATTCACGG